TGGTTCTTGGGGGGGAGAAATTGTCCCCCTCAGAACGGGATCGCAATTTGGGTGTCCTCCTAGACTCACAGCTAAGATTAGAGCAACATCTGACTGCTGTGGCTAGGCGGACCTTTGCACAGGTTCGCCTGGTGCACCAATTGCAACCCTACTTGGATCGGGAGGCTCTCCTCATAGTCACTCATGCCCTTGTCACCTCACAGTTAGATTATTGCAACGCGCTCTACATGGGGCTACCCTTGAAAAGTGTTCGGAGACTACAGTTGGTCCAGAACGCAGCCGTGCGAGCTGCCGTGGGTGCACCTAGGTACACCGCATTACACAAATTCTCCACGAGCTGCACTGGCTCCCTATTGGTCTCCAGTCACAATTCAAGGTGTTGGTTTTTACCTTTAAAGCCCTACATGGCTCAGGGCCAGGTTATCTTCGAGACCGCCTTCTGCCGCATAGCTCCCAGCGACTGGTAAGATCCCACAGAGTTGGTCTCCTCCGGGTCCCGTCGGCTAAACAATGTCGGCTGGCGGGCCCGTGGAGGAGGGCCTTCTCTGTGGCTGTCCCAGCTCTCTGGAACCAGTTACCTCCTGAGGTCCGGATCATCCCCACCCTATTGGCCTTCCGAAAAGCGGTGAAGACCCGGCTTTTCCGGCAGGCCTGGGGCTGTTGATCTCGCTCTGTGATCTGGTGAGATCTGGCCATGAATGGTGTGAATGAGTTTTTAATGTTTTTAATGTTTTTTAATTTTTCAATGTCTTTTTATAATGATTTTTTAAGTGTGAGCCACCCTGAGTCTTCGGAGAAGGGCGGCATATAAATTTAATTAATTAAATTAATTAAATTAAATTAAATTAAATTAAATTAAATTAAATTAATTAAATTAAATTAAATTAAATTAAATTAAATTAAATTAAATTAAATTAAATTAATTAAATTAAATCATTACCCTAACTAGGTAACATCATCAGTGCTATGGATAGTAAGGAGAACATGCAATTAGGTATCTCAGGGCATTGCTGCACACTGACAAGACTGCCCTCAGTCAATGGCTCACCTTCAAGCAGACTTCAATACAATCATGTTAATTTCTGCCTTTTTCCTATTGAATCTTCAATGCATAATGTGATACTAATTCCTCTTCAGGGGTCAATTGGCATTATAGAACCCTAGACTTTTAGGATGGGATCAGAGCAGAGATTTTATAAATAAATCAATTAAAAAATTGATTTTTATGACCTTGTATTCCCTTAATTTGGAGTAGAGTTGGAGCAACTGGATGGAGCTGAGCATTTACTGGCTGGCTGCCCTTTCTAATGCCATATGGAGTTCGCAGCAGATATTTTTTCTTTGCACTGTAGGAGAGAAACATCTGCCACTACCTAGGATTGAACTCTGAACCACCTGAATGACCGTCTTCACCACTAGCCCACCACACTGCTCTGTTATCAATGATTATAAATAAATCAATAGCAGTTTTTAAAATATAGATCAATGATTTTATTATTTGCCTCATTTTCAATGGAATTTTGGAGCTGGACTGGACAATGGAGGCAAAAACAAATGCTTGTTAGTTAGCAAATAGATCAGTAATAATTTCCTTGTTGAACAACTTCACTGTAAAATTATCTTTCTTGCATTTAGGACATCTAGGAAGACGAATAGGAGGAAAAGTGTTCATCGACTTGATTCTAGTAATTTTGATACCAAATCAAATAATGAAAGAAGACAATGACACTTATATTAGAAAAAGTATATCAATTTTTGAGAGATTATTATTTATCAAAATAATGTAAAGAATTGTTTTTGCTAAAATAGGTGAACAGTAAACTTAAGTATTTCTTTGCTTAAGTTATGCACTCAAGTTGGAATGTACTTAGATATTTTTACCTCATAGAAAACACTTGGAATTGGTGCCTCTTTTTCCTCCCCTTCTCTGTCACTATAAGTGTTTAAGAACACATGTGCATGCAACGTGCTTTTATAAATTGGAAACCTGAAGGCCAAGGTGGTTGTTTTTTTGACTACATATAAGGTATTCTGCCAGCAGCTGAGTGCAGGACAAAAATGTTTTTAAATAAGTAAATATTTACTTTAAAAAAGCAAAAATTAACTTCAGCCAGTGGAGCACTGGAGAAATCCAAGGCTTTAGCCTTAAAATTCCATTTGCATTAACCAGGTAAATTTTATTTTGGAAAGACTAAAATGTTTAGTTTTAATACTGAAGGGGAGATTTGTTTTTGTTTTTTTATTTAATTTAAGATATTATTAAATCAGATTTCAAAACAAATATATCCCAGGGCACCTTGTAAAACATTTTAAAGCCTTAGTTCTGAAATAAAAGTAGACAATGTTTTGTATGTGGCCAGCATAATCACGTCAGTAGCTCTGGATTTGGATATTGAGTAATCAAGTCAGATTGATTATGCACTTTCTCTATGAAATAAAGCAATCTTTTGTCATTTGCTCTTAAGCGACAGTTTGTATGTAATATGGGAAATGCTGTACCTTTAATGTGGATACGCCTTACATAAGTACTACTAAAGAGTATGGAAAATATTAAAAAGGGACACAATAAGGTTTAGTTTGAAATCTCTATGTTAGGTACTCTATGTTACTGTATTGAGATGAATTGAAAAAAATGGTCAAGTTTTGCTCTTTGAATATAACAGTCGTTTTAAGGAAGCTGTGCAGAGATATGTTAATATGATAAATAAAGTTGATTTTTCTCTTTTGGATTTACAGTGTAGAAGGAAAACACTGTGAATTTGCCAATAAGGACAAAGAGATGGTAGAATGAAAATTCATTTAAAATTCCCTTGATGTTAAATGCAGGCACAAAATATTGTGTATTACAATCATGTTTTGTTTTATTTCTTAACTGAAATATGAGGATGCATATAAGGGCTAATAGGTACAAAAATCAGGATGAAAAGCAGATGAAAATAAAGGGATGTACATAGGAAACTTTTGTGCCATCCAGCAGGCAACCCAGATCAGATAGCTCTAATACATTTAAATAATTCTCTTTACTCACATATCTGTTTAGGCCAGGCTATAGACATTTTGGCACTCTAGGCAAAGTCATATCTGGCATCTCTTATGGTTTGACTCATCTTCTGGATTTGCTAAGAATTTCAAAATGATGTTTTTTTGTTTCTTTTTTCTTTGACATTTGAAGATTTACAGTTGTGATTTTTCAACTCTGGACCATTTTTTTTCACCCTATATACATTCTAAATAATTTAAAGTACATCAGCGCCCCTGTTTATTATATATCAACAACTCTGTGAAGTCTTATTTAATCCTTGAGCTGGCGCACTGATTCACAGGATGAGACGTTGATATTTTTCTATTTTTTGTAGTAAAAAATAAGACTTCACAGAATTGTTGACATATAATAAACAGGGGCGGTGATATACTTAAAATTATTTAGAATGTATATAGGGTGGGAGGAAGAAACCTGCCAGAAGATACTAAATTGAAAGCCTTGGGTTGCCAGATTGAGAGCTATATTACCAGGTCTCTGCACTTGTCTGGGTGAAAGAGTGGGTAACTTTGAGACATAAAAGTCTATTAACTTTGGAGGGACATGATCTCCAACTGGAGTGGCAGGCCTTTCTATGGTATGGGAAAAATAAAAAAAAATGGATATTTTCAAAGGCACCTTGTTAGAAATGCACTGCTGTTAGTATGGCGGAAAATTAAAGAAAGACACTATATAAAAATATCAGTCTGGCTTTCCATGATGGGGGCACTGATTCATCCGAATGTGATTAATGTGGAAAAGATTGTAAGATACAAGGAGTATTAAAATGGAAGACGAGCAAGTGAAAGAAACAATGATAAGATGGGCTAAAAGCTTTGGTTACTCAATAGAATTAGACAAGTGGAAGAAACTGTGGGATAGAAACTGTAAATTAACAATGTCAACGGCCTATAAAATGTTTTGTAAGTGGCATTTACCACCAGCGAAGTTAGCAAAATTATCAGCTAAATGTTAGAAGTGTAATCAGATATCAGGTTCATATTATCATATGTGGTGGACATGCCCAAAGGCAAAAAACTACTGGACTAAAATACATACTTGGTTAGAAAAAATGATAAAACAACACATAGATTTGAAACCAGAAATATTTCTGCTGGGGATACTACCAGAACAGTATAATAAAAGGATTACATATTTAATTCTGCATGTAGTAACGGCAGCAAGAATAGTGTTTGCACAACAATGGAAAAATGATGAGGTCCCAACAGATGAAAGTGTAATAAAAAAAATATTAGAATGTGCTGAGATGGATAGATTGACACTTAAGATAAAAGAAAAGGAAGAAACAGAATACTTTTAAACATGGGATATATTTTACCAATGGTTAACTAACAAAAACAGAAGTTAGAATTTTAAAAAAAAATACAGGTAATAAAAATTTGTATTGAAAATATTGCAAGATGGACAGACTAATTGTATTATTATTTTGTGATTAATATTGATAGGTCTATTAAGATTACTAGAATGATTATGGTTATTGTTGTACCTTTACTCAAAATTAATTATGCCCAGACTGTTCAGATAGACATGGAATTTTTAATGGAAATTTTAAAGGAATTTTTAAAGGAAAAATTTACCAATAAAACATATTCAATATATATACATATATATATATTTCTATTTTTTTGTGTGTGTGTTTTTCAGAAATCTTTTCAATTTTGGTACTCCCTAAAATTTGGTTTCCTTAAACTGATGTCTACTAGGGCTAAGTCTACAGGCAGTCCAGTTTAGGCAGTAGAAAAACAATAAACAAGTGATATTTTGATTCTTCCTAGTTTCAACAACTTACCACATTTTTAAATAGAATGTGATGGTAGTATCTTATTTCTTGTGACTAGGGAAAATAAGAGCATAATTATATTATTCAGAAAATTTAAAAACAGCTAACCAAGATTCTGCTTTTGTGAAGTTGGTGTTTATTACTTTACTGAAGATCTTCTGTCCCCACTTTTTCCCATAGATACCATTTACTCTGGAGAAATTGGAACAAAGAAAAAAGTTAAGAGACTGCTAAGTTTTCAGAGATACTTCCATGCATCCAGGCTATTGCGTGGAATCATACCACAAGCCTCACTGTACTTATTGGATGAAGACTACCTTGGTCAAGCAAGGGTAAAAAGCAATCTATTCTATCAAGTTCAGTTCTTATAATCAAGCTGCATTTGGAATCTCATTCCTAGTTTAACCATTAATTTGATTGATTGATTGATTGTTATCCTGTCTTTATTATTTTCATGAATAATTCAATGCATCAAACATACCTAATATCCTCTCCTTCTATTTTCACCACAATAAAAACCCTGGGCTGAGAGGCCCAAAGTCATACACCCAGCTTTCATGCCTAGAACTCAGAGTCCCCCAGTTTCTATCCTGGTGCCTTAACCTTTAGACCATATTGGGAATAATGAGAAGCTTCCTGGTATGTTTGAATGAAAAGCAGCATGAAAGAGGTTTGCAAACACAGAGACTTATGCCAAGATGTCACAGTTAGGATTTGATTATCTGAATCGGGCCTAAACTGTATTATTAATTTAATCCGTCTGCCATATAGGCAAGATTGATTCTAAAGTACGCTAGCTTAAAGAAGTTGACAGAAAAAAATATTAATACTGTACAGTACAGTCTTGTACGTGTCAGTTCAGAGGTCTTTCTTGTTGAACTCTCGAATATATAAGTGTGGAATCGTAGCTTTCATCTGTAGCAGCACCGTATCCAAGTAAAACTGTCCTGGGCTCAGGGGTGGGTTCTACTTACCTTTGCTACTGGTTTGCATCGCGCCTGCACGTGCGCTCTTCTACACATGCACAGAAGCTTCTGCGCATGCTTAGATCACCTATGATGACATCCGGGTCAGTGGGCGGAGCCTCCTGCCAGTTTTACTACCGGTTCTTGCGAACCGGTCCAAACCAGAGGCAACCCACCACTGCCTGGGATGAATTATAACCTTTCAACCACGCCCCTTTATCTATTTTAATTGGTTTAGATACATTACAGGTAGTCCTCGACTTACAACTATTCATTTAGTGAGCATACGAAGTTACAATGGCAGTGAAAATGTGACTTATTTTTACACTTATAACCATTGGAGTGTATGATCTCCATGGTCATGTGTTCAAAATTCAAGTGTGTGGCAACTGGCATGTATTTTTGACAGTTGCACCGTTGCAGGGTCATATGATCACCAGATTTGCTTAATAACCACATGATTCGCTCTAACAACTGCAGTGATTCACTTAACAGTTGTGGCAAAAAAGGTTATGCTATGGGGAAAAATTCACTTAGCAACTGCCTCGCTTAGCGACAGAAATTTTGGGTGCAATTGTGGTCATAACTGGAGGACTACATATATGATGGAACTTAACGTTTCAGTATTGATTTGTATAGGTCCCATCAGGACAGTTAATACTAGATGGATTTATCTGTAGATCCCGGCTAGCTTCAGGAATTAGTTGATGAGACTATTTCAGGATTCATACACTTCAGCGTGAAAATAATTTATTGTTGCTGATATATGTCTCCTCAGGATCAAGCTTTGGATCTGTCTCTTTAAGAGTTATTATAAGGCACCCAGAGCTTGGAGTGGTATGGCTTACTGATAATTACATATATTTTGATTATGTAACAGAACTCAAGTATAAACCATGATTTATAAATCAAAATGGCAAACCAAATATAGATAGTCCGCGACTTACAAGCAATACTTAGCCACTGTTTGAAATTACAATGGCACTGAAAAAAAGTGAATTACATCGTACTTATAACTGTTGCCGCATCCCTTTAGTCACATGATCAAAATTCAGGCACTCCACAACTGGCACGCCATTACTATGGTTGCAATCTCAAGAGGTCATATGAGATCACCATTTGCAACCTTCCTAGCTGGCTTCCAACAAGCAAAGTCTATGGGGGAAGGCCAGATTTGTCTAATGACCGCATGATTTACTTAACCACTGTAATGACTCGCTTAACAACTATGGCAAAAAAAAAATGTACAATTGGATGTAACTCATTTAACAACCACTGTGTGAACCCTGCTGCTGTGTTTTATTTTTTAAGCCAGAATTCCTTCCCCAGTTCTGGCAGGCTTCCCCCTTTTCAAATGTGTGTGGATTGTTTTCTCCATCACACAAATGTAGGCATTTTAAGTCAGGCATTAACTAAAATTTACATTATTCATTCTTAAACGGGTTAGGCATCTCAAAGCCTATCAATCCCATGCAATCTCAAAGTTTTTGTTTTATACCCCCAAATCTCCCTAAATAAAATGTGTAAAGCTGACTCTAGAATTCAAAGACAAGGGTGAAATGGAATATCATGAAATCTGGAATAAAATGTATCAATGGTTGGAGAGGAGGAGAAATGTCGGGATAGAGAAATATGGATAAATCAAGAGTTTAAGAATTATTATATTCGTATTATGTGATAGGTAGGAATTGTATCGGTATAGAATGTAATTTCTATAGACGAAGAGATTTATGTAGCTGAATTTTGATAGATTGTACAAAGGTATATATCGAATATGAATTGTAGTTGTTGTAAGGAAAAATTTGATGGAAATGTTGGAACCAGAGAAGCCGCACTATGTCCAATGTTTTTAACTGTATATTTAATAAAAAAAACTTTTAAAATAATGTGTAAAGCTTTCAGAAAAGTTGGGACTCTTAATGGCAGGACCTTGTCAAATAAGACATGAAAAAGGGGAAATTGCTTCAGTTCCTACATGTTGTCATAACATGATCCCATTCCTCTACCTACTCAGAATAGGGGGTGGGGGAGTAACTCCTATGTAACTTCATGCTGTGCAACCGCCATATTTAAATACTTAAATTGGGATAAATCACCTATATTGCAAGTATAAAACTTGATTTCCAGGGTAATTCTAATTCGAGATTAGGTTTTCTTTGTGCAATTATTGTATCCTGTTTTAAGGATTCTGCTCATTTTAATAGAAAGCACTTTACATTTTAATTGGCACATACAAATTATTCTGCACTTTATCTTTCTATTTCCAGCATATGTTATCCAAAGTGGGAATGTGGGATTTTGACATTTTCCTGTTCGACCGCTTGACAAATGGTAAGGTACAAAGAATCAGCACAAAATGCTATTTTGTTAACAGTAATGTTCCATGTTTTCACTGATTGCACTCAAGGTTGTTCCTTCAACCTTAAAGCTTGCCTTGTTAAAATTTTTCTTCTTGCGCAACATGAAGAGAAATAGCCTAAACAGACAGGACAGAAGACTACAAAAATGCCTTTTTACAGCTGTGATGGTACTATCCTATATCCTGGAATTTACCCTATGCAGAACATCGTGGCTCTTGTTGGTAAAAAAAGATACCAACTCTGTAACTGTGGACAAAAAAGAAATAAAGGGAAAAGAAGAGATACCTGAATTGATATCAAAAGTCTGTAGAGATTTGTGCAAGTTCACAGCATGTGCATGTCGTTTCTTGTTGTCATTGACACTTTTAGTCTTCTAATTTCCTGGCTCAGTATATGCTAGGCCTCAATCTTCTCTCTTTATCACCCAGATCCTGCTAAAAACAACCATCTTATCTTGCTCCTACTGATAGTGTTTGTTATTTTTAAAGCAAAACAAACAAAATCCACAACTAGTAATTTGTGTGATTTTAGATATAACTTTAAAATTAGTCGATTAGAATCAGCCTTTAGGCTATTATGCCAGGTGTGTGTGGGGCCACAATTCCCCCCCCACACACACACTTTCATAAGTGGTACATGTCCCTGCCCCCACCCCCCCAAAAAAGTCCTATAAAATTCAGGGTGATGCTTATCTCTTACTCTTGCTCAAAGTATCCTGGATGAGTTTTTAAAAAAAAAAAAAAAAAAACTTTCAAAATGCATTGCTCTGACCATAATGGTACAAGATTATTTTTGCAGCTCAGCCTTTGGTGTGAATTCTGGCCTTCGTTCAATATGCAGCCTACTGTGTCTTTCCCCTTCAGAAGAAATGTGATAATAACAGATATATTGCATAAAAGGCAGCCTGCTGACTGTAGCCCATCTTTCTGGTACAATGAGCAGTGTGGTTCCTTGAGAGCAAAAAATCCTGTCACTACCGGTTTGCTCATGGGCGTGTGCGCGTTCGTGGGCACAGCGTTGTGCGTGCCCACGGATGCGCCCGCGCCCATGAGCGAAGTGCATATGCAGAGATGTCCGGGTGGGTGGGCGGAGCCTCCCGCCATCACTGCTACTGGTTCGCCCAATTCGGGGCGAACCGGTAGCAACCCACCACTGGTACATACCCAGAATCCTCTGTTAATACCTGGAACGTCCATGAAGTATAGGCAGTCTTCAGCAAAGAATCAGTGTGAAAAGAATAGAATGTTTGGACATCCATGAAAACTCCTGGACATGTTCTTCCAATCGCAAAAATATGTAGGTCATCCTTGACTTACAACCATTAATTCGGTAAACTGTTTAACGTTATAATGGCACCGGGAAAAAAGTGATTTCTGACTGGTTCCCACACTTATGACCATCACAGCATCCCCACAGTCACGTAATCAAAATTTGGTCTTATGACTGGTCCCCACTGTCAGGGTTCCAAGCAGGGGTGAAATCCAGCAGGTTCTGACAGGTTCTGGAGAACCGATAGAAATTTTGAGCAGTTCGGAGAACCGGCAGTGGAAATTTTGAGTAGTGTGGAGAACTGGCAAATACCACTTCTGGCTGGCCCCAGAGTAGCGTGGGAATGGAGATTTTGCAATATCCTTCCCCCAGGAGTGGGGTGGGAATGGGAATTTTGGAATCCTTCCCCTGGAGTGGGGTGGGAATGGAGATTTTGCAGTTTCCTTCCTCTGGAGTCGGGTGGGAATGGAGATTTTGCAGTATTGTTCCTCTGCCACTCCCACCAAGCCACGCCCACAGAACCAGTAGTAAAAAAAATTGTATTTCACCACTGGTTACAAGTAATAAATCCATTGCAAGCAAGACTTCGAGGCAATTGAATTCCTCAAAGATTACTTTTATTGGAAATATCCTATTGGCACATATCGGGTGAAAACTGACTCTGAAAACTCCCGTGGATTTCACCATATTAAAAGTAAAAGATTTTCCACTTTCTCAAAAAAAATCAGTCACATGGTCCAAACATCGTGCTGTCTGACAGCCAGGTGGCATCACTCCGCCTCCTTCCAACCAGGTGTGAGAATGTCCTTGATTCCCCAAGAGAAAGTATTTTGTTTTGGCTACAAAAATCCCACTATTTCAAATCCCCCCTCCCTGACCCTCAGCTCCAGTATGGCAACACTGAAGCGGACAAAATGGCTTCGGTCAGGCCAACTTCAGAGTTGATACCCACTGTTACGACCATCGTAGCATTCCCATGGTCACATCACAATTTGGGTACTTGGCAACCAACATGTATTTATGATGGTTGCAGTGTCCTGCGGTCATATAATCTCCATTTGCGACCTTCCCAACCAGCTTCCAACAAGTAAAGTCAATGGCAACCCATATTCATTTAACAACTGCAGTGATTCTCTTAACAACATAGCAAAAAAAAGGTTGTAAAATTGGAAGCAACTCAGTTAACAACCATCTTGCTTAACAACAGAAATGTGGTCCCAATCATGGTTGTAAGCTGAAGACTACCTATATTCATCTGTCCATGTGGCAAATATAAGAAATACCCTTGTTTCATATCTGAAGTTGACTCAATACTACTAGAAAGTGGGTAGAAGGATGTTCTTGCTATCAGCCCTCCAGATGTTCTGGAAATGACTTTAGCTGCCATGCTAGCTGGGAATTTGTCTTGTCTCCATAAACTTACACCACTACTTGTTTAGGTAATCAAAAACTACTGGGAAGATTTCTAGAGTTACAGAGCCTGAATTCTACCTACTTCATGGTATAGTAAATGCAAGTAATTGATGTGCCCTTTTTGTTCTTTCAGGAAACAGCCTGGTAACCTTGTTGTGCCACCTTTTTAATATACATGGACTTATTCATCATTTTCAGTTAGATATGGTTACATTATACAGATTTTTAGGTAAGCACATTCTTTCATCACTTGTCAATGTTGGTGCTATCTCTCTATCTCTTTAACTATCATTGATCTCTCTATCTCTTTATTTATCATCTCTCTCTGATCCATCTCTTATCTGTCTGTCTGTCTGTCTGTCTGTCTGTCTGTCTGTCTGTCTATCTATCAATCTATCTATCTATCTATCTATCTCCATTTGTGCAGCCATCCAATTTGCGTACTGCTGCAGTTTCATAGACTCTGACAGGCTTTTTGCTTTTTTTTATTATTTTGGTGGGAAGCAACACAATTTTGCCTGCTTCATTTTGACTTCATGGCTATCCATAGGCTGTGTCTGTGCTCATGGCCATTTTCCCCAGTCCCATTTGTCCCACCTTTATTTTTATTTTTCTTAGGTGGGAAAAGGTTTATAAAATACATTCGTTTTAAACACCAGGTTAGTGCGACAGTTTATTTATCACTTCTCTGCGAAGTGAAATTGAACAACTACTTGGCGCAATCAAAGTTTAGCAGCAAAGTGGTAGAATTCTCACTTCTGTTGCTAACAAGAGCCAAAAGAGCAAAAGAACCTCGCTGCCAATCTTCCAGCTGAAATGTGACTATTACAGGACTAGAAAACCCGAATAGTTTAAGAAGTCTGAAAGTGCTAGACTGAAAAAGTAAAATCCAAATCAAAGTGTGTGGTCTTTTCTTTGCCTCACTACAGAAATGAATTTGCCATGTATCCATTTAAAACAATCTTCCTGTAGTCATATAGATTCATTTATATGGCTATAAAGGAGCCATTTCAACATCAAATTGAATAAGGGATGTAAATTTGTTTGTCTACTAATTACTTTGATATCCAGGGATTCCCAGATATTCCAGATAATGTATGTTCTATTAAGGGTAGCTGTTACTTTCCTAAATCATTGCTACCACTATCAAACTGCTTTTACTCATAGGAACATTTTCCTAATGTTTACCTATAATCTGCCTTCCTGTAACTGAGGATAATTATTCTTGCCCTGCAGTCCGTGAAGATTGAGAATAAGACTTAGCTATCTTCTTTGTAGTGCTGCTTCTTAATCTCTTCTTTCAGGACTTCCATTTTCTCTGAAGCCTTCTTCAAGTCTGGTGCCCAGAAGGTCTGACCAATGCAAGTTTCTTCCAGGGGTGGGTTCTAATTACCTTTACTACCGGTTCGCAACGGGAGCACATGCACTCCCATTGCGAACCGGTAATAAAAGTAACTAGAACCCACCCCTGAACTGTGCTATATTTCAGAGCTGAACCCTAAATATGGAAAGAAGCTCTTGAAAGTTAGGGTTAGAGTGGGGTGTGAGGGGAATCTCACAGGCTATTCCTGGTGGCTCTACTTAGCCCAGAACAATTGTGTAGGAGGTGAATGCATGCTCAACATACAGGGGCGTGTTTTTATACAAAAAATACACCATCTCTTATTCAGATTCAACATGAATCTTGTTGAAATTATCATGAATCATGCTGAAACTAGTCAAGGAGAGAACCAACCTAGAACTAATGAAAAATTAGACAGTCAGAACGATTAATCATTGGAACGACTTGCCTCCAGAGGTGGTGGGTGCTCCAATATTGGAAGTTTTTAAGAAGAAAGTGGATAACCATTTGTCTGAAATGGCATAGGATTTCCTGCTTGAGCAGGGGATTGGACTCGAAGACCTCTGAGGTCCCTTTCAACTCTGTGATTCTGTTATTCATGTGAATACAGAAATTAAGGGAATATTATGCAAAAGTCTAAGTAATATTGGGACATTAGAAAAGAAAGTTTGTTTACGCTTCTCCAAGAGTGTGATTTTATAGTTCAGGGTACATGTCTATTTATAATCATGGAGGTTTTACTGGACATAGCAAAGAGCAATTTAGAAAAGAGATTGGTCAGATTAGGCCTAGTTTCTGTTTATTATACTATGACTACAACCTATGACTATAATAATGATAGTACAAAAATACTGGTGCGTTAATCAAATTCACGCAGTTCTCATGTAGTTTGTCCTCCCTTATACTAACTGAAGTAGGCAGTACTGCTTTTTCAAAAGAGTAGATAATGTGACTGCTATCTGGGTTTGGGAATAACAGGTGCTGCTAAGCCTTAGATCAGGGAGCACTTCGATCCATAGAGAAAATCATTCCTGAATAATAATAAAGCATTGTAGATTGTTGTCCTTTCTTTTTTCCCCTTAAGGTATTTATTTTTTTTCTTCTGAATTTTATTGCTTTCATTAAAAGCAATAAAAAGTGATTTAGAAACAAATCTTTTCTATGGTATAGATTTTTCTCTTTAACCAAAAGAATAATAAACTCTTGCAATTTTAGAAAAAGCTCCAGTTTAAGTTTTAGCTATCAGCTCAAAATTTTAAAAGCATCTGAATCACAGAGATACCCAAAGGTTGAGGAAAAGGTTCATTTCTCTTCTGTTGCTTCTAGGTATGGTGCAGGAAGATTATCACAGCCAAAACCCGTATCACAATGCTGTCCATGCTGCTGATGTCACGCAAGCTATGCACTGCTACTTAAAAGAGGCCAAGGTAACCACACAAGCTTAGCTGAGAATTTCCATAGACCACACGGCAATGAATTCATTTTACTGAGAAAATAAAAGTGTTCCACAATTGTACTTATGTCAGTAAAAGCCGCCAATGGAATCTCCAATGCTCATTCCACCTGAAGGATGGAACATACAGAACAAAAAAGGATGCAGCCGTTCAAACCAATCTTAAAAATAGAACTTATCCAGAAGGGTGACATTAGGGGAGAATAGGTTTTTCTCCAAGAGACAGCCCAGCCCATCAATGTTTTGAAAAATTGTCCAACACTTTGTGAGATTGTAAAAAAAGTTAGAAGATCTTTCACCAGGAAGCCAAAACAAACAAACAAACCCTGAGATCTCATAAAACAAATTTGACAAAGTTCTCACCCAAGTTGGAGAGATGTTAATGGTCTGGTACAAGTTTTGTGGGATTTAGGCAATTCTAAATCATCTTTGGCCCAAAGTAGTTTGAAAGAAAGGGTGTTAACAGTCCAGAAAAACTTGCCAATATTTGGTCTTGGGTTCTTTTGTCAGTGTTTTGAAAACTTGAAACTAACCAGCATTTCCTGATTTTCAGATAAATGAAGTCTGATTTGTTTACAGTTGGAAGTAGATGCTTCCAGATTCTTTTTTTGCAGAAATGCCAAGAGAAACAAAAGGCAAATGGAAAGCCTACAAGCCTAAAACCTATGCCAGTTCATGACCATAATACAGAGTTTAATATTACAGTCAAACTGGGCCATTAAAGCAGTAGATGAATAATGCCAATCCGCATTTTCTGAAAAAGCAAATTATTAGAGAAAGACATTAACAGTCTGAAGAGAAAAGAGACGTGTTTAAGAGTTCTTTGTACCCAATTCATTCCTGCAAATGCACTTCTTGGATTTTTTTTTTCACTGACCTGAAGTTCAACATGTTGGGACAGAAACTTCAAAAAAAAAAAAAAAAACAATTAGCAGAGAAGACCTGCAAAGGGGGGGAGGGAGCAATCTTGGTTCTATTGATTCTCATTTTTAAATATACTACTCTCCATGAAATTTCCCATTGCCATTAGCAAGATAAGCAGAATCCCCCAGCATAGTTTTTTAAAATTACTAACATTCTTCACCTGAGATATCATTGGTCACATAAAATATCTGAAACATTCCAAACTTTTTCTCCTATTCAGCTTCTTGCAATTTAGATACAACCTTTAGTCTTTTCCCCTGGTAACTGAAAGATAATATAATCCACAAGTCAATGGGGTAAAGTGATACTAGGTGAAAAAGCCGAGTGGAAACAAAAGAGGAAAATAGAAAATGGAAAATATTTTTTTGCATTTATTCCCAACAAAAATGAAAACAGCTACAACAGTTCTGGAAAAATGTATTTTTTCACAGATTATTCAATTATCCCCCAATCCCTTTCTTTTACAACTGTCCTGAGTAGACGTGCTTTTTTATGCCCATAATACAAATAAAATACTTTTTTCAATAAATATTATAAAACAAAATGCTACTTTCTAGCCCCCCCCCAAAAAAACCGACAAATTGAACTTTACAGAATATTTGCCAGAATTAAAATAGCATTGCTTGTTTCCCAAAGTTACACACCGTATCTGGTCTAAGACTCTGATTTATGTATTTGCTTATTTATTTGAATTTATTGTCCTCCCAACTCCAATAGACTCTGGGGGCATATAAAAGTAGAAAAGAACATTAAAAAAGCATATACACTTCAAATCAGACAGCCCAGACTAAAATAAACTTATGGGCAGCAAAAATCAAACAAAATAAAACAAGGTCCCTAATCAAATAATAAACTTCAACCCCAAGCCAGGTTTTCAGAGCTTTCTGGAACCTTATTTTTAACCTTAACCTTATTCTTAATCTTATTTTTTTATGTTTCATTGCTTTACTATTGTTATGGTGACATTTTTATTATTTTTTTCCGTTTTACTGTTGTAAGTCACCCAAGGCGAGATGGGCAGCAAACAAATTTAACAAATAAGCAGAAGGTGCTTGCTGACTTTATCTAGCCCTTAATGGAACTACATGGAAAGAAAGAACCAGCGGGGTACACTTCAATATCTTCATAAATTGTTTAGATGAGAGAATTTAAGGGGAACTCATCAGATTTCCAGACAACAGCTGGCAGGAATAGCCAATACCCCAGAAGATAGGCTCAAGATCCAGAAGGATCTCAACAGACTTGAACACTGAGCCCTACCTTAACAAAATGAAATTCAATGGTGAGAAGAGTAAGTTTTTACACTTAGGCAAGAAAAACCAAATCTGCAGATATAAAATAAGTGGTACCTGGCTCAATAGCAGTAACAGCAGGAAGATCTTGGAATCCTAGTGGACAATCGCTTAAATACAAGTCAGCTGTGTGCTGCAGCCACCAAAAAAGCCAATGCAATCCTAGGATGCATTAACAGAGGGATAGAATTAAGTTCACATGAAGTATTAGAATGGCTTTATAATGCCTTGGTAAAACCATACTTGGATTACTGCCTCCAGTTTAGATTGCCACAATTTAAAAAAGATGTTGAGACTCTAGAAAGAGTGGAGAAAAGAGCAGCAAAGATGATTAGGGGATTGGAGGCTAAAACATATGAAGAACGGTTGCAGGACCTTTCACCTGGGTCTAGTGAAAAGAAGGATCAGAGGTGACCTAATAGCAGTGTTCCAATATTTGAGGGGCTGCCACAAAAAAGAGGGGGTCAACCTATTTAACAAAGCACCAGAAGGCGGGGCAAGAAGCAATGGATGGAAACTAATCAAGGAGAGAAGCAACCTAGAACTAAGGAGAAATTTCCAGACAGTGAGAACAATTAGCCAGTGGAATTGCTTGCTTCCAGAAGTTGTGGGTTCTCCATCACTGGAGGTTTAAGAAGAAACTGGACAATCATTTGTATGAAATGGTATAGAGTTTCCTGCTTGAACAGAAGGTTAAACGTCCAAGGTCCCTTCCAACTCTATTATTCTGTTCTCAGAATGGGAGCAGTGCTGTTCCAGAGGGTAGGGGCTGCAACAGAGAAAGCTGTTTTCATTGGTCTTCTTTAGAAATCAAAAGTGTTGTTGTTGTTTTTACATTGGTTATAACTTAGTATCCCAGAGGTGTTCCCCAGAGGAAGGGAAGTGGGGAAAAGAAGGAAACAGAAAAAACTCTGGAAGGCAAATGTGACTATGTGATTGAAGCATCATGTACTGTATAATGCACCAAAAAGGGGGCAGGACTTTGATGGTATGGTTGTGGCTGCATCCAGATCTTTCTGATGGGCTCTGCAGGACCTTTTAATTGTTCACATATTTTGTGCACCATTACGTCTGTATCAGCTGCAGCATCAAAGTACCTGCTAAAATTATATTGGTACTCATATCGCCATCAGGCTTTGGCAGCATGCTTTCCAAAAAAAGATATTGACATATAACTTTCATATCACTATTTAATAGTTCCTTTAAAAAATGGCAATTCACTTTTTTTTTTTTTTTGCTAAAGTTGAGTAATAGGGAGTGATGGTATAAAGTGGAAAACACTCCTGGCTCTGCTGAAAAATGGGTTTACAAAGAGCCATTATGGTTGCTTGGCTTTGAATTAATGTAATACGTGAATTCATCCATTGTGCTTTATAAATTATGGCCACTATGCAGGGGTGAAATCCAGCAGGTTCTGACAGGTTCTGGAGAACCGGTAGTGGAAATTTTGAGCAGTTCAGAGAACCGACAAATATCATCTCTGGCTGGTCCCAGAGTGGGGAGGGAGTGGAGATTTTGCAGTATCCTTCCCTGCCACATCCACCAAGCCATGCTCACCAAGCCACACCATGCCCACCAAGCCACGCCCACAGAACCGGTAGTAAAAAAATTTGGATTTCACCACTGCCACTATGGCTTGTTCAGCTATGGTAACTTGAGTGGAAACAAGCCATAGCTTAGTGTGATGAGGGAACCAGTGGTTTAAGACCCAATGTTAAACTTAACATTGTGTGTGAACTAGGCCCAATGTTATTCAACAAAACTTGAATAAAGTTTAACACAGTGCATGAGATTACAATGTATGGTAATTGTAATATGTAAAAATACATATTGCAAAAACACAATCACCTTTAACTCTGAACCCCTTTTTACATGCTCCAGCTTGCTAACTTCCTCACCCCTCTGGATGTTATGCTTGGATTACTGGCTGCTGCAGCACATGATGTAGACCATCCAGGAGTCAATCAGCCATTTTTGATAAAAACTAAACATCATCTTGCCGGTTTATATCAGGTGGGAATATCTTTTGGTATAAATGGTTGCTTTTTTCTCCAAATCAGCTTTGTTATGACTGCATAGTATTAGCGGTTGCCAGTCACTTCTTTTTACCATGGTTACTTCAACGTTTCAGTTATTCCAGAACTATTTTCAAGATATACAGTAGACAGTGACATGTGGGAAGCAGTCATCCCTGCCTACAGAAACGATTCACACAACTCATTTACTCCCCATATATATGGATAGTATTTATAGGAAACAGAACTTTCTAAAATTCTACTTTTATTCCTACTTTTATGAGGTGAAACAGTAGCTTTATAATTCTACAGTGAGGTGAAAAAAGTGCAGAATATGACAAGGAGGCAGATTGTGCCTTATTAAAAACAGTTAATAGCTGTAAAGATAGGCTTGGAGAATAGGTACTCCCTATGCTATGTACTATGAACTAAGAAAAATGGCACAAAATTGCTTAATGTCATCGTTAATTTTGTGTTTCAAAAGTCACACTTTCTGTTCAAAATTTTGAGAAATTAAATTTAGAGGCAAACAGAGAGCATCGATTTCAAGAGTATTTTGGAACAAACATACATTTAATAGTCCAAAATCAGGAAGAAAAATAATTTGGAAATAATTTGTGCCAAAGATTACATGAATTCTGTCCCAAGACAAATGTTATAACTGAATATATATTTGAGACGTAAGATGAGTCTTCCATAGTTTTCTTTAATAAACAGTGTCAGAGGTTGCATTCAGTAAGCAGTGTTAGCGTTATAAATTTCTAACCCTTGGCTAAAGAACTATAGTAGCACAGACCATTATTTATGATTTAATAGTTTTTTAACAGTTCCCCACCCAAATGGCCTCTGGATCCAACACGTGTTATCTGCTGGCATAGAACTTTGCCAGACATAAATCTCTGTTGTCCATAATTTAGTAACACATTTACTTATTGAATTCCTAGACAATATTTTCTCCAAGCATTTCTCTCTCCTTCCCCATAAATACATGTTTGTCTTCAAAACAATTCATGAAGTAGGCTTGAACGATAATGTCTGCTAAACTTACTGAGGGATCTCAATGGTTGGGATTGGAATTTGGATATCCCCAAGCCTAGTTGGCCCTCTTATCTCGGCATATAACACTGATGGAATTTACTTGCCTTTCAGTTGTAAAATACATCCAAGGAACTCAGTCAATAGGTGTGAATGGGTTATAACAGAATCCCAGTTTTACAATTAGCTCATTACAGAAATGAGAGGAGAACTGCATACCCTTTTTAAAAAGCTTGAGGTCTCTCCCTCACCCCCATTTTTCCTTCCCTTCTCTGAGATGTCAGCTATGTAACAATTTAGACAGTCCTTGTACTCAAAGATAAAGGAACAGACAGGGCCACAGTACCAAGGCTAGTACAGAATGATGATGAGATTAGGTTGTGACAAGCTCATCTTTCTCTATCAGTTTTGACAAGGCACAGCCAAATGCTAGGCATGCAGCTGGGATGATCTAAGACCTGGCTGCAAAGTCTTTGAAATGTCAGGGCTTATAGAGAGAAGTAAAGAAAAAGGACGGAGAAACATCATTGTCCTGTGAATAAAGGCAAGGCTACTATTAGGCAACCTCACTGCCTTACTCAACAATTGATTTTTTTTTACTTTGTAAATTCATACTTTGTCCTTTTTTTAAAATACACCTATTCTTTTTATTAAAATTGCATCCATTCCAGTGTGGTGAGCTTTTTAAATTTTACATTTTTTTCCTCCCTTTTCCAGAATGTCTCTGTATTAGAAAACCATCACTGGAGATCTACAATAGGCATGCTTCGAGAATCAAGGCTCCTTGCACATCTGCCGAAAGAAGAGAGGTGAGCATCGGATTCTGGGAAATGAGCTGATCTCATGTGGATTCCCAGAACTTTTTTGAATGCAATGTTTTTACAGTGCACTTTATAGGATGAACAGGTGTGCAAATGAATAGTGAGTTTGCTTGGGTTTTGCCTAGCCTGATTTGTGAGTCCATTCATTTATTCATCTATCTATCTATTCATTTGCCCTAGAACACTATAAAAGCACCAAATTCAAAACTTTTGAAAAGATCCACATTTGTGAATATAGTATGATGTGTAATCCCTGTGTGATCCATGTGGATGTGGTATGTATGTTGATGCATGCCCATCTGTGTGCATACATGCATGCTTTCCAATCACATTTGTCTGGGGGGGGAAATTAAATTGCAACTTGGAAATTGCCCGATTTGACGGCGTTACTCAGTTGTTCTGGGCAATCCCTATACCAAACATTTTCCTTCTCCACATTCAAAATCTCTGTCTAGCAAAAATAGTGAATTCTCATGGACCTCCAGCACATAGTTAGGGTACAAGTGTGGAATACTGTTCAGCATCCCTCCAGAGTGCTTGCTGCCTCATTCAAACTGGGAGAAACTATAGGAGGATTCTAGTGAGATTTATACCAGCGCTGTGAGAAATAGGGCTGTATGATTGTGGAGAAAGATGTAGCTGTTTTAATGAGCTGCAGGGAAGGTGTTTCATTCAGTTTCTGAAGCATCCTTCCATTGCACAGCTCTAATCATAAGCCAGATGAAATGGAGCTCCTCAGGGATGTACACAAGAAGGGTCAATGGCATCAAGATGGTGGGCACAGCTAGGCAATTGAAGCCCCACCTCTTTTAAAGATGTGTCTCATGCCTCACATATATGCAAAAATAGGCAGGGCTTGGATCACTCCAATTATGCCCACCATTTTGATGGTGTTGTTCCTCCCAGCAGCCACCCTGGTGGCCACTTAATAAAAGAAGGCATTACCCTAACAATACAAAATGGAGGAAATGACATTTGTTAATAACAGCTTCTTGTATTTTGCATTGTCTTGTAGTCATGACATTGAACAACAGCTTGGTTCCCTGATCTTGGCAACAGATATCAACAGGCAGAACGAATTTTTGACCCAGCTGAAAGCTCATCTAAAAAACCAGGACTTGAAATTAGAGGATGCTTCAGACAGGCATTTTATGCTCCAGGTAAATGTTGAAGGTTTCTGTTTAAAAGTAGATATTTTCTCTGGTGGACCAGAGCAGAGGAGACGTGAAGCAAAGAGCCAGTGGTACCAAGTTTCTTTGATTATTTTGTAGCATTCCTTGAATTATTCACTTTCATCCAATTTACACATTATGCTATTAAGCGAAAATAGCACAAGAATATACAAAGGCGCAGTTGGTCAAGCCAAGCATTTGTTTTTTTACAATAATTTAAGAAAATGCCTCTAGGGTATTCAAATATAGAAAATGGAGATAAATCCCTCTTCCAACATTGCTCCCCTCCAGTTGATATTTGGGGCCAAGTTGTTCTCAACCTTGGTGCAACATTAGCTTTTCAAGATTTATAGCTCTTGAGAAATGCTTTCTCCATAAATTTATCTAAATGTCACCCAAATCCCATGTTTCCTACGTGTCTAGTTGCCATTCAAATTTACTGCAGTTGTGGTTATGAATTCTGGGAGGTTAATGATGTGTAAGGAAATACATGCTTATACTCCAAAGCCTCGTCCCAGACATCTTTGTTGACCGATCCCTGGTCTTATTTTTTTGAAGATGAGAGAAAAATTTCTCCCTACCCACTTTCTTCATGTAATCCATGGTTTTGATACACTGGATATACCTAATCTCAGTTGCCTATCACGTGACATGATTGCAGCAAATTGAATAAAGAAAGTGAATAAAGAAGGCTTGTCAACATGTGCCATTGATAGAGAGAGAGAGGGAGAGAGAGAAAAAGTCAGAGAGAGAGAGAGAGAGGGGGAGAGAGAGAGAGAGATACACACACATACAGTATATCATCATGGTTAACTGGACAGGAGAGATCCCTGAGGTGCTGAATTAGACAGGCCAGCTACTAGAGTCATTCAGATAACCAGTACTTTATTCTCGCAACATAGGTGCTCCTTGCTTAGTGACCATGATTGGGACAAGCAACTCCATTGCTAGCGATACGATCATTAAGCAAGACAGCACAGGACCACAACGAGCTTATGAACACAGTCCCGCTGCGGTCATTAAGCAAATCATCTGCAGTTGTTAAGCGAGACATCACATGGTCACAATATGCAATTTTACTACCGACTTTTCCATTGGCTCTGTTTATCAGATAACTAGCTGTGAAGCATGCAAGCATGATTGCAGGACACTGCAACAGTCATAATTGCCAACCTGCTGCAAAGCGCCTGATTATAGATCATGTGACTACAGGGATGCTGCAACGCTCTTAAGTGTGAGGAGGACCAGGGGTGAAATCTAGCAGGTTCTGACAGGTTCTGGAGAACCAGTAGCGGAAATTTTGAGCAGTTCAGAGAACCGGCAAATATCACCTCTGGCTGGCCCCAGAGTGGAGTGGGAATGGAGATTTTGCAATATCCTTCCCCAGGAGTGGGGAGGGAATGGAGATTTTGCAGTATCCTTCCCCTGCCACACCCATCAAGCCACACCCACCAAGCCACACCACACGCCCACAGAACCGGTAGTAAAAAAATTTGAGTTTCACCACTGAGGAGGACCAGTAATAAGGTTACTTTTTAAGGTCAGTTGTAACTTCGAAAGGCTGCTAAATGAGATGGTTGGCAAGCAAGAACTTCTTGAAAGTGAAATTAAAGCACCTTTAAAAGACTTACCACACTATCTCTAAAACATAAGGGATAATGTGGGAAAGAAAGGAATTAAAAGATGTTCTGATTCACATTTTGCCCACAGGTGGAGTTTTAGCCACCCTTGGGAGAACTTACATGCATATATTTTAATACCAATAGTACCCTGGATATGTGCTCAGCACCATGAGAGTATTTCAGGTTTATAGGCAGAAAAATCTATCCAGTAAACAAAAATCCAAGTACTCTCAATGATCAGTTTACAATTACTGAGTTACTCCTTTTTATGGCAACCAATGGAGTGATTTCAGTTTGTTTATTGATAGGAATTTTGTATACAGTTTGTAAAACTTTTACAGTTTTACAAGTTGTAAAACTTGGGAACCACTTTGAAGCAGTATAAGTCTAAATATACTATTTAGTATATAAATTACATTAACTATTCAAACTAGATGTCATTTTATTCTAAACACTTTCTTATTCATTTTGACACAGGACCTTTGAAAGTTCCTAAGTACAATAACATTTTCCAATTAAGACTAAGAGGAGCTGAGAAACCCTCCCAACTATTGACTATCTCTGCCCTTCCATAAATTAGTAGGAGTTGTATGGAGAAAATCTACTTGACTATATGGATGTTTTTAATGCAACAATTAATTCATTAAGTTTTGTTTTGGTATTGCCTTGTTCATTGTATTCTTAACATTCTTATTACTTAAGTGGAAAAACAGTATATCATTTATTATTGGTGTTGATAATGAATTCATAGTTCATTCATATTTATTCTGCTATTTACGTAGCCCATTATCTAAACTAATGCTCTCTGCATGAAAGCCTATTTTAGAGAAATGGGAGGAACTGAGCCCATAATTTGAGCTGGCGAAATGAAGCAAAACAAAAGAAAACTTCTGAGAAATAAGGCATCACCACAAGCATATTATTTCTTCAGCATATCCCTGTCCCTCTGGAGGAGCCAGTGCAATTTACAAAGGATTAATAAAAACTATGCTTAGATAAAACCATCACTGTAAAAATTAACAGACCTTAACATAATATATGCACACATTAAAACATAATTCATTTGAAGACAGAACAATAACATGACAGGCAGTCTAAAAGATATTCTGAAACTATTAGTCCAGAAGTCATTGTTATCCTGGAAGTAGCAGGTGTGTGTCTTCAGTTGTTGACTAAAAAGAAGGAAGGTGACAGGCAAACAGCTCTCCTTCAAGAAGGGTTCCTCTTCCCTCAAGAATCCCTTCCTGACTTCAAATTAGGGAATTGTATTGTTGGGTTACTACCACTGAGAAAGCCAACTTCTGGCCACTATATTGTGACCTGAGGCAACTTGTGGGATCATGAACAGAGCCTTTCCCAGCTGTTTGTGTGGCATAGTTTGATGTCAAATGTAAAAATTATGTATGCAATCCTTTTAGGACCAACATTGCACAGTTTCATTTGCCTGCCCTTCTGAACACTCGAGCTTCACTTGCAGCTTTTAGATAATTTTCAATAAAGCTCTAAATGTTGCAAAAATGTAGTTACTACAGTATGCATCACTGAAGTTAGGCTATCTTAAATTTGGTATCTGTTGTGATAAAATTTGCAACTTGGTTACTTCCAAGTTATAAAATTTTTGCTCAGCATTTCCAACAGTAGGCAGAATCCTCTCAGATAGTTATTTTGGGATGTTATGAAAAGATCAGATATCATTAGTGTTTAATTTATTTTTGTTGTGCTTTTATTTCAGGAAGAGAAATGCAGTATTTTTCCCTCACATTCCATCATACTTTGGTGGACCTTAAGCACCAGGCAATCAGATGTATGGGCAAGGGATTTGATGTTTTGCCTCAAACAAAATGTTTTGGGCCAGCAATGTGGCTATTTTACTAAAGCTGGCAATCCTATCTATTTTTCCTCTAACTTGAACCATTTCCTCTCATTTTGGTAGCAGTAGATGCCAACTCATCCCCAAATATTTTGAATCTGTTAATTCAATTAGGGCAGCAGCTACATATGGCTTGGCTGGCAGTGATACAGCCAAATCGGTTTGAATTTAGAATTATTCCCAAATTTAGTTTGTATAGAGTGCTAAAGGTGCCAGGGAAGCACATCTAGAAGATGTCTTCTGTTTCCAGATAGATGTCAACTTAAAAAACACACATTCATTTAATTATTCTTTCACACACAGAATCAATTTGTAGTCATCTTCATAGATGAACCCCTCAATGTGGCTATCATCTTGGTTTGGAGTATTTTTGGGGGGGAGAGTAGACCACTGTGCAATATTGCCTGGCATAACTGGGGCCTGTGAAGGTTTTACTGCAGGCCTAAGTTTGTATTGAGTTTTCCATGCCTATCATTTGGTCAAGACGGTATTTCATATATTCATAGTGTAATCACATTTTCATGAGAGTTCCTAGAAAAGAACAACTTGAGCTTCTCTTTTTTTTTAGGACAGGCAATATTACAGGCAATAATATAAAGGGGAGTTGTAGACAATCATAAATGAAATAATATTTATTATAATATAATAACATAATTTTAAAAAATAAGAAAAGAAACAGTGCTGGTACAATGCAAGTTTGAACAAATATAGAAAATATAAGAAAGGGGGCTGGGAACTAAGTAGATACCTGGCAATTCTTGAATAACCAGCAGATCTACAATATCATACAGCTAATAAAAGCTAAGACACAATTAACAACTTAAAGTACTATAAAACATTTCATACCCATTCTGGTCAAGACATGTTCTCTATTAAGCCATAAAAATATTTAATGAGCAAAATTGAAATTAGAGGAAAAAGAAAAGCTATAAATAAAGAGTATATTGAAAAAAATACTGTAAATAATATGTAGATAATATATCTGATAAAAATACAAACTGTAGGCTCCAATTCTGGGATGTGTCATGATTCCATTTTACTCCAGAAATGATTTCTAAATAAGTGTCAACTTGCAAAAGCTGTCAGAACCTTCACAATAAGATTAAATTGTACATCAGATTCAGTTTTTAGATGTGCAGTTATTCTAGACATTAAAGCATATTCCCATACTTTAATTAATTATTCTTTCATAGAAAAGTTCATCAGATATCTTTTGCAATAAAAAGCACATAAAATATTTGCAGTTGTCATCATACATAATGCCAGTTCAAGGTTTTTTAAAGAAAAATGTGGTTTAGTGAAGTTTAATAAAAATATCTCTGGTTCAAAGAGAATTATGACAAAATGAATTCAACTTTCTACTAGCATACAAACACAACGTATATAAGATTAACTATTTTTATTGTCAGGAGCATAGGGGTAAGGGTAATTGTGGTCTAGTAACTACCAACAAATATAGCACTTTGAAAATTAATCCTGGTTTCTATTGCAATCAAAAATTATTTGCTGGGAACGATAAAATGATGTCCGAGTATTCTTGGCTTTTACTTATTCTTCAGTTGCTGGCTGTAAAATCTTTCCATTTATTTATTTATTGGATATATGAACTACTTTTATACTCTGGCTAGTATCCAAAATAGTTAACAAAAAGAAAAAAGAAAAAAAAGAAAAGAAAAGAAATCACACAAACGCAATATTAAAACATAAATTAAAATCCAAATGTACCTTTTCAGTTCAGAGCTGAAGAAGCTTCTTGGATGAGAAGCGAAACATCTTCAAAGAAAAATCAGAAAGTCCAGTTGCCTCTTGAAAAAGCACCTTTGGGACAACCATGACCTGGATGACTGAGAATGTCCGTAGACATAAATTAAGATCAATATGTTAATCCATACATAAATAATTATTACAACTCTGACATAGAGATGCTTGTTTACTGTAAGCTTCCTAAATGCTGACAGGATAGATGTTACAGATCACTATTCACCCCTCGTTTGTTAAGCAACCTTGGTGGCACCACAATGGTTAGAATGCAGTATTGCAGGCTAACTCTGCCCACAGTCTGGCGTTCAACCCTGACAGGCTCAAGATTGATTCAGGCTTCCATCCTTCTGAGGTTGGTAAATTGAGGACCCAGATTGTTGGGGGGCAATATGGTGACATTTATAGTCACAAATAAAGCACTATGGAGTGGTATATAAGTCTAAGTGCTATTGCTTTTGCTAACTTGCAAGGAAGCATTGTTCCCTCTCCTCATCCATGGGGCCAGTCCTGTCCTGTCAACCCTTGGCCAGAGACATTCACAGGATGTCTTCAGCCACTCTCTCTTTCTCTCTCTCAACTAAGCCTCTTTCACAAACTTTGCTGTTGAGGGAATTACTAGCAAATTAAATGAAACCACAATTCAGTGGAATAAGCACAGTTAGCTGATTTGATTTTCTTCTTAACTTCGTCTTTTACCTCCCTCGGGTGTCAAAGGGGATACAGAGTTCTGGTTCTTGCTTTTCTGACAGCCTCAACCATTGTTAATTGATGTTAACTGATTTGATATCAGTTGCATATAACAAAATAAAACATTCCAAAATGATGTATATTAGTGCTAAGGTATCTGCAGCAAAAATACAGCATTCCAGACAATTAGCTATACCTTGTTCTAGGATGTCATTCCATTTCCTCCCCTCACAACTGTTAACTGGAATTGTGACCCTAAAGCATATTTAAACCTGATTAAACCTGATTTTTTTTATCTCTTCTTCTACCTGATCATATTTCTTAATAATGTACAGAATGTGGGGTTTCTTCAAATTATGCTTTAAAAAAATAATTTGCTATTAGTATATAGAATGTTGTTAGGGTTGCAGTGGCTCAGTGGCTAAGATGCTGAGCTTGTCGATTGAAAGGTCGGCAGTTCAGCAGTTTGAATCCCGAGTGCTGTGTAATGGGGGTTACTTGTCCCAGCTTCTGCCAACCTAGCAGTTCGAAAGCACGTAAAAAGGGCAAGTAGAACAATAGGGACCACCTTTGGTGGGAAGGTAACAGCGTTCTGTGCGCCTTTGGCATTTAGTCATGTCAGCCACATGACCATGGAGACGTCTTCGGACAGCGCTGGCTCTTCAGCTTTGAAACGGAGATGAGCACTGACCCCTAGAGTCGGGAACGACTAACACATAAGTGCGAGGGGAACCTTTACCTTTACCTTTTATATAGAATGTTATCCAACATCAGGGGATATTTGCATTTATAAAGTGTACAGGTTTACAGTGTTGTAGTTATAATTGTAAATAGTTGTTCAGTATATATTGAATGTATTGCTTTTCTGTAGTTTTAATTGTTATTAGTCTTTTTCATTTTGATTGTTTGTTTGATATTATGGAATAATTCCCCTTCTGAGTATCTTTTGTAGTACAACATAAAACTTGCAATGCCCAATTAATTTTGAAGACCTTCAAGTATTATATGTCTTATTGCATCATGGATGTCTTTTATTTTCAGATTGCACTTAAGTGCGCAGACATTTGTAATCCTTGCCGGCTCTGGGAGTTGAGCAAACAGTGGAGTGAGCGAGTTTGTGAGGAATTCTATAGGCAAGGTCAGCAATCTGATATATTTTCACCTTGGCTCTGTCTTTCTGTATCATAATTTTAATATGAAGTGGCAGTAACTAGTCATCTTATTTGAAGTTGCTAAAAAAAATCTGGGGAAAATGCCACCTTCTTAAATAAATGCTTTCTTTTAAAAAAAAAGGTGATTAATACAACCATAGCCATTTAATTGCCTGGATTAACCTTGAACAGTAGTGTTCACTAGTCTTTAAGAATAACAAAAGATGATGAATTAGAGGCAGAGTTCTCCAATCTTGGCAACTTTTAAGATTGTGGACTTCAACACCCAGAATTCCCCAGAATGGATAAAGGGTCTGACTTGGGCTACATGTAGAACTCTCAACATTTTGATTTCCCCTCACCATTCCATCCCAAAGGAAAATCCATTTGCAGCAGGGGTGAAATGCTACTGGTTCGGACTGGTTCAACTGAACCGGTAGCTATGGCAGTGGGTGGTTCAGAGAACCGGTAGCGATGGCAGCGTAAGGCTCTGCCCACCCATCCGGTCGTCATTACTTCCTGGTTTTAACCAGGAAGTAAACTGTTTTTTACCCTCCACGCATGCGCAGAAGGGTTTGCATATGTGCAGAGGGTCTGGCGTAGCGCGTACACTTCCGAACCGGTAGGGAAGGTAAGTAGATTTCACCCCTGATTTGCAGGTATTTGGAAGAGCCTTCAAACCAAAGCATTGTGTATTGATGTAATTATTCTCACTTTATATAGGATGACTAAATCAAATGGGTAGGAAGGATCTAACTGGCTAGTGACTTGCGATGTAGTTTCCACCTGAAAGAAGCATCTTGTCCAGATTATCCCAAACAAGTACCCTTCAGCTGTATTAGGATCACAATCTATGAAACATCTAGCCCAAATGTGACCCCCTGGCTGGGAATCTTGTAAATGTGTGGAGCATAAAGTAAGGGAAGATTTACATTACAAGTTATGCTTCTGATCACCCAAAGTTACTGATAACTGCAATGCATATAAAAGGTGTATGAAAGGAATGATAGCAAGTAACACATTGTGGTACATATCTTAGATTAAATAGACATCTTCTTCAAGAATTAATACAAAATTTGCAGTTTAATAAGATAAAATGACTTACAAATGTCTACCAATAAAGTAATGGAATATTAATACAACTACGGTACCCCACCTATACAAATGTAGAGGTTTCCAGCACATCACTTAAGTACTACTACAAATGACCATAAAATAATTTGCGCAAGATAGGAGTCCTATATCTTTTCTTAGCCTTGCATGATTTGGTAACAGACATGTGCAATGTGGATTGTAGAAAGCAGTGTATGACTATCAGATGGATACCATTATTTTCCTTGTAGGATTTGCAGCATTCAGGTATATTAGCATATAAATTATTAAATTTTATTTATTTGTATTCCGCCTTTATTTATTTTTACAAATAATTCAAGGCAGTGAAGATATCTAACATATCTTCCTTCTCCTATTTTCCCCGCAAGTTCCTGGGGTTCCTGTGAAGATGAATTGGGCTGAGAGAAAGTGATTGGCCCAAGGACATCCAGCTGGTTTTCATATTTAAGGCAGGACTAGAACTCATGATCTCCCACTAACTAGCCTAGTGCCTTACCCTGTAGACCGAATTATTAGAGCTCTACACACAAAAACATTTATGGTGTCAAAATTTAATCATCCTTTCTGATAGGTGATCTGGAGCAGAAATTTGACTTGGAAATAAGTCCTCTTTGTAATCAGAAGAAAGACACAATACCTAGTATACAAATTGGTGAGTATACCATGTATCGTTGGCCTGATTTCCTAATAGGTACCATAATTTTTCTATTCCATGAAAAACTACTTGGCAGTCAGATAAAATAAGTTTTGGGATCCTTTGGGATACAAAGCTAAACTGCTTGTGAGTTTTGCTCCATTTTACAGCCTTTCTGGCAACGGTTGCTGGAACTGGGTATGTCTAGTTTGATGAAAAGAAAGAGTAGGGGTGACATGATAACAGTGTTCCAATATTTCAATATCCAATATCTTCTTTGTAGCAGTTATGTAGTAATTACCATCTCTGTCCTCCCAAATGACATATTGTGGTTCTTTTCTTCCCATAAACAAACCTTTTAATAAATCATCAAATTACAAATTTATTTTTGTCCATTTTCATAAAAAGCCTATAAAGGGTTTCCAGTCTCTTATAAAAGTAATTATTGTTCCCTCTTTTATCAGACAGGTCATTTTAGTCAGTTCTTCACATTTTGCCATTTTCACGATTTCTCCATTATGGGTATTTCTGTAGTCTTCCATCTTTATATTTAGTATTATTTTAATTAGGTGTAAAGTAGCCATAAGACTTCCTGAATTAATAAATAAGTTCTTATGACAAGGTTGATAGTGAATAATAATAATAAAATGTCATTTGCAGTCTAAACATCTGGTTGACTGTACATCAAATTATAATAATAATGTCTCTCAATGGCTCTGGGTAGCTTACAATAATCAAATTACAATGAAATAAAAAAATAAAGAATAAAGAATAGCAAGCACAAGGAAGCAGGGAGTCCTACTCTCCCTCCCTCACTGAAGGCCTATATAAAGAGCCAGACTCTTCTAAACAATAGCAGAGTGGGGGCCATCCAGATCTTGGGAGAACTTTATTTCAGAGGGTAGGCACCGCTAAAAAGGAGCATTTTTGAGATCCTGAGAGATGACATTGTTTAATCAAAGGAATTCAGAATGCACCAACCCTGCAGGATCAAATTGGCCAGGCAGATGTTTAATCAGAATAGAGCTGGAAGGGACTTTGGAGGTCTTCTAATCCAACTCCCTGCTCAAACAGGGGACCATTTCAGAGAAGTGGCTGTCCAGCCTCTTCTTAAAAACTCCAGTGATGAAGCACCCATAACTTCTGAAGGCAAGCTGTTCCACTGAGCAATGGTTAATGTTCCACTGGTTATGGGAGATGGTCGGTCCCTCAAATAACCAAGCGCCATACTATCAGATCAGTTCAAGTAGCATTTTATTCCAGCAGTGTGAGGGCAAAAATTTGTTATTTGTAAAAGAAAAGCAAAATAATTTTGTAGTAATTTAAATAAAATAAATATTAATTTTATATTAATTAAGTACACCCAAATATTGCAATCTTGAAGCTATGCTAGACCCCTTTTTCAGAGTAGAATGTTGGCTTATCAGAAAAGGGCATTTAGTGATCAGCTAAACTGCTGATGTAACTTGCCTTATGTTTTTCTCCAGGCTTCATGACCTATATTGTGGAGCCACTCTTTGAAGAATGGGCCAACTTTACTGGGAACACTCATTTATCTGAAAACATGCTGAACCATCTGAGAAGAAACAAGACCAAGTGGAAGAGATTGCTCCCTAAGCAACATGGCATCCCCATTGACCACTCACTTCAAATTTCTGAAAACGAAGAGCAGACTTTTAATGAAGGAGAAACCCCGTAGAGGTGGTACAGCAACAAAATCCTACAGATCTGTAGGCCCATCATCAAGACAGGAAATCAAGAAAGCAGGAAAACTGAACATGAAGTAACCTCCTATTGGAAAACCTACATTATTTGTAGGTTTGATTCTGAAGTGCCACCAAATCTTCCTTCTTCATCTTAATATCTGAAGCCATTCGTCACCTCTGCTCTCAAGCTTGACTAAGATAATGAAGCTGGACTGATAAGCAGGAACCAACTAATAGGAGTAGTGGAGGACACAAAGAAAGACCAGTGCATCTTGGGTTATCAAGTTGCATTAACTTTGTGTGATATTGAGACAGGTGTTGAACAAAGGCTTGGAGTAATGTACAGTCAATTGGCAGCTGGGCTGCACATTAAAACTCACCACCAGCATCATCAGAACTCAGAGGACATTTGGCCACACAGAGAGAAGTTTTAACTGACTAAAGTCTTTTATAATTTTTGTATTTGATGCACTGGAAAAGGCATTTAAAGAACCTTGAAGTAAGGTTATTCTGTGTACACAATGATTTTTTTCATGGTGGTACCCATTGATCATTTTAAGCCACTTTAGATAAAAGACTGACATTCTCACCGCAAGAACAATGTTTCCTCTCGAATCAAAAGGGAAGAGCTGTACAGTTTAAATGTTCCCAGATGTCTCTTTTGATGGCTGTATCTGTGGCCTGTTTATATTCGCACTTGTATGTTTTTCATTATATACACTTATATATATATATATATATATATATATATATATATATATATATATATATATATTCTCATGCCAAAATACAAGTATCATGGGAAAGCTACCGTATAAGCAATGGCACTGTGAACAAAATACTGTTAGTTTTAGTATTTGTAAATACTATTAATATACTTTCATTTGTTTGCAGATAAAGGCTCCAAGTTCCAGCATACAGTACTTTAACTTTCTGATGGCTACTGAAAGTCTTATAATTTAAGTGTGGCCTGTTTTCATTTGCCCAGCCAAGGATTACATGGTCAATATCTGCTGGAGGTTTTTGTTTGTTTGTTTTTGTTTGTTTGCAGGTTTGATTTGCGTTCATTTGTGGGCATGAGTTCTAGTAATTAATGAAGATGCAATTCAGCACAATTTTTGTCATTTTTTAAAAAAAACTTCAATGGATAAATCTATAAACTTTGTTTTATGTAAAAATGCTAATGCCAAACTGACCAAATGAAATTGGACCTTGAAGCAGCCATATCATCATATGCATCATATCAAGGAGTTTTGTTAAAACTCTTCAAGATTATTATGTATGTTGAAAGGCATTTCCACTAAAAATGTAAAAATAATGGCAGAGCCATAATCCTACTTAGTTTTACTCAGAATTATAGTTGCCCCCAAGGGGTGTCCAGTTCTTTTTGTCATAAACTTGAGGTACACTACTCTATCCATTAAGGCCAGAATAGGCAGTCTTAGACTCTGCAGTGATTTGAATGATACTTCTCACAATCTCTTGCCTACCCCCGGTTTTGTTATGAGAATTGAAGCTCAAAGTATAATTTATCCCTGCATTAATGACTCACTTTGAAGTTCGGGATGTCTTTTGAAACCAAACAATGCTACCAATCAAAATTTGCAGAAACATGCTATTAATGCATGTAAATCGCTGAAGAATTATCCAGGTTTTCAGGGATTTTTGACTTTGCTTGTTGATTAGGTTTATAGTCTGTCTTTCTATCAAAATGGTACACAAGGCAGCCCTCAATACATGGAGACAGAATTTAAGATGTAATGAAAAAAATAAAAAGTCAGTTAAACCCATTAAAGTTAAAGCCTATTTCCGCAACTTACAGTACTTTTAATAGACTGACAGGTCAACTTGAAGGCTAAATGACTGTTTTAGGAATACCTTTGTGTGCCTATAACAGAGGGGTGGGATTAGAGGTGGAGAAACATCAAAGATGGAGCTGACTTTATTCAATAGTACTGGAGACAATTTTGGATAGGTCAGTTCTGCTAATTATCAGTTCACATTTTATTATATGAAATGCACATGGGCTACTTCTAAAAAAGCAAATGTATTCTCCAAATCAACATACGCAAAAAGTATATGCATTGTTTAATAGTATGGTATTTTTTCCCTAACAAAATCTTGGTATTTTTGATTCATTATATTTTACACATTATTTTTATGTTCTTGCTAATTACATGGATATCATTTTCAAAGAATACAGCAACACTACAAAGAAGGGAGATTTCACACTACAAAGAAGGGAAATTTCTTGAAAAATGAACTTTGAACAGGAAAGCAACTGAGCCCAGCTTTCTTTATGTATCAAAGAGCAGAAGTGGCATAACAATGGCAGATTTTAACTCTGTTTTGTATTGAAGAAAAAATACCAATCATGATGAAATATATATATTTGGAATAGAATGCAAAAAAGGTAGTTGCATAGTAAGGCAAATGAAAGCCTAAGTCATATGTTTGCAAGTCAAATGAAGAACAACATTCCATTTGGATATTATACAGTAAGGCTATTGGTCCCTTTCTTCCTAGTATTAAACTGATTTCAGCAGTAACACAACGTCAGGAAGTCATAAAAAAGCAATGTTTTGAGTGTGTACATCTTTACTGAAAGATGGGGGTAGGTGGGTAGTGTGATCCCCAGGAGTTGTTGAATTCTATTGTCTACCAGCCCGGTCAGCATGAAAAATATCAAGGGACAACTAGACTGGCAGACCAACCAAACCTATAACATATCCTTGCCCAACAGAATCCTGATTGGTCCTTGGTGTTCATTGAACTTGGTTGTTTTCTTGCAGATGTTCATTACCCAAACTAAGAAAACAACCAAGCTCAGAGAGCACCAAGGACTTCATTTCAACCCTGAGCAACAAATATTCTCCTTTATTTGAATTTTGATTATTCTCAAAACATTCTCTAATACTTAAACTTCTATCTTTACCGTTTTCAAGCAACCTCCTTAAGACTAATTTACAGGCCAAAGTGTGAAGATTATCTGTTTTCATTCCTCAAGTTCCCAGCCATGGATACGAGCAGTGCTCAATTAAAAAGTTAGTTTGTTCTATGATTGAGAAATGTATGCGAATGCAGCCACCACCTAGAAGTGCTACCCTTGTATTTTTAAACATAATGTAGAAAGAAGTCGGTGGTCAAATTAGAAGACGAGTCACAAAATGGTGAAGCAAAAAGAATGTATGACTGAGTCTCGAGTTGAATTGAGAACTTAGGCTGAAAAATGCTTCCAACTGGTGGAAGCATTGATCAACAATTTGGAGGGCTTGTAGAAAGCTTTATATAGGTAGGGACAGCAGGATTCAGCAGAGATATTTAGCACAATAGGACAAAAACGAATTGATTGGATTTCAATAGTATTTTAATTCTTTTATTTATAATAGCATTCCTGTGTTTTTTCTGAAGATTTAACAAAAAATTAAATACAAATTTGCGGAAGAAAAAATCAGTTACCAAAGTTCTCAATATTTACTGTAACCATTTTCACATCATTCCATAATTGTAATTCAGCAGACTCTTTATTTCAGGCGCTGTGGGCCATTCCTTTACATTGTCACGGCATGATTATGATTTTTCAAAGTTCTAGCCTTGATTTACTTGGCTAATACTTGCCATCCAAATGCAGGTTCTTTACACCAACCCCTCCAAGCTCAAAATAGCTCCAGCAAGGTAACGGGTTATACACATACATACATATATACTTACATTTATTTCTCAGATTTTATTCTGTCCTTGCACTTTTTGTGTCAGAAGAATTATGACTTACAAAACCTACCAATTTTCATAGAAGTCCACATGTTGGGACGGTTTCTAATTCTAATGGAATCATTGTGAACAATTTTATCCTGTTATGCCATGCATGAAGTACTGTGAATTCCCTCTTCAACACAAGATTTGAGCAGAGTCCATGATTAAAAATTTTGTGATTACCACAAGCAGGGTACTACATCATGGGGAAAAAGTGGTAGGAGAACATTTTGTTTTTGTTCTACTATATCAGCAGCACAGTTCTTGAATATTCTATTCACAAAAATTTAATAAAAAGAAAATGTTTAAATTGGTTATTAAATATTCTCTGCCAGCATTTTTACCAAACAAAAAGATCTGATATGTAAAGTGCACTTCTGAGCAAACAAAAATCAATGACGATTGACGTCACTGGGATCAAGATTCAATAGCCATGGGTGTAAGTATTATCCATTAAGCTGAAAGAACCAAGCTACACTTCGACCTAATGCTGAAATGTCAGTTTGTTTTTCTAATGTCTGTTGAATAAGCCACATCATGAACCGAGCATATAGATGAACAATGAAAGTATGTTTTTTTTTTCCTTTTGTCTAATGGTTGCTGTTCTCATAAAAATTGTGAATACTTTGCAAAATGCCTTTTCATCTTTTAAGAACTGGTACTTATGTATTATTTTATTGCCATAGGCTGACACTAGAAATTAAGCAAGCAAGATTAATACTTTTCAGGCATCATAGGAAGATACTTTGTTGGTCTGTGGAATCAAAAAAAGTAAGTTTGGTAGCGCTTTTTATGGTTAACAAATCTGTATTAAAATTTGCTACCAGATACCTCCTGATTTTTTTTTTCAATATTCAGATACTTTCATCTATTCTATGCACCTGTTGCTGTTGTGCTTGGTGCTAAGTTTGTCATCTTTTGCTGTGAGTTCGGCTTGTTGCTTCATGGCTTTGCTATGAAACTTGTAAGCAAATCTGAAAAAAGTAAGATGCCTTTTCAAATGAATTGAAGGAATGCATGACCGCTTTTCTACTGGAACCACCCAGCACTGACTTCAAGAGCAATCTCACTCCTACTTCAGCCTTAACTACAGATAGTCCTCAATTTACCACCACAATTGAGCCAAAAATTTATGTTGCTAAGACAGACATTTATTAAATGAGTTTTGTGCCCTGTTTTACAAGCTTTCTTGCCACAGCTGATAAGCGAATGACTGCACTTGTTAAATTAGTAATATGGTTGTTAAGTGAATCTGGCTTCTCCATTGACTGCTTGTCAGAAGGTTGTCAAAGATGATCACATTAGGGGTGGGTTCTAATTTTTTTTACTACCGGTTCTGTGGGTGTGGCTTATTTTTGAGCATAGCTTGATGGTCATGTGACAATTCTTTAGGATTTAGCAGAGGTACTGGTCTACCAGGCTTTTAACTGCTTGCAGAGCTGTACCGGTCTACCCATTTGTTTTTTGAGGCACCAGTCTACTCGTTTGTTTTTGGAGGCATTGGTCTACCCATTTATTTTTGCAGGAACCCATCTACTCATTTGTTTTTGGAGGTACCTGTCTACCACCACACTGCCTTTTAACACTGATCAGCTGCAGGGCGGCCCTTTGAAGCCCCGCGGCAAGAGTTTAAACTGTTTTTTTCCTTCTAGCCGATCAGCTGGGACTCAGGAGGCAGCAATAGATTGGGGGTGGGGCCAAATAAAAGGTAAGAATAACGCAGGGGGGGCAGAACCGGTTCGGTGACATCATATCGTCACCGCTACCGGCTCTGTGGAACCGGGCCGAACTGGGAGGAACCCACCACTGGATCACATGACTCCCGGGACACTGCAACTGTCATAAATATGAGTCAGTTACCAAGCGTCTGAATTTTTACCCCATTACCATTGGGATGCTGCAATAGTGGTGTGAAAAATTGTCATAAGACAGTTTTTTCCAGTGCCGTTGTAACTTTGAACAGTCACTAAATGAACTATTGTAAGTCGAGGACTAGCTGTAATGATTTGGCAGACAGTCTTAGTTTTGTTTGTATGCAGTAAATCCCTGAGCCATACGCAATACTCTCAGCTTTGTCTTTGCATTCTCTTTCCAGTATCACCAAGATTAAACCTACATTTCTTGGAGGTTTTCTGGATTGCTATCTCAGACTTTCCTACACCACCAGCATATACTCACACAGTTCAGAGTGGAGCTTACATTTACTCAAAATCAGGACTACTAGCTACCGCAGATGATAATGTGTTAGGCTGTAGCAAAATATTGAAAGGATATGCTACTAACAGAGTTGTGTGGGAAGTGAACAGATTTGTCTGAACAATTTACTTTGCTAACTCAGACCTGCTTTTTTTCTTCCTAATTCTGGTGACTTTCTGTATTGATTAATGAGGACTCTTGCTCTCCATTGGGGCTTATTTGCTATCTTGATGTTAGCCTGCATTTGGACTTACTAAAAGATTCCCAGATTTGGATATTATAGGAAGCACTAAACTGCTGCTCTTCTGGCTCCTGAATACATTTCCTCCTAGAAGCCAAACTGAGTCCTTCAGTGAAGATCTTCCAGAAGTTAGTGAAGAATGAATTTTTTTAAAAAAAAAACGTTATTGAAGTTTGCAAAAGAAAGCTAAAAAATACAAATACAAACTGTATTTATACTGTATAAATATAAAAAAGAAGAAAAGGGGAAAAATGAGAGAAGTTATGTAAGATGACTTTTCCTCCAGTCACATATAAACAATTTGGCTAACAACACCTTATCTAATACTTAAGTAAAAGAAAACATCTCGACGTAGGGTCGAGGTGGCATGGGAAAAGAAGCGCTCTGTTCCCAGTGCCAAATTTCTAAGTTTTTGGTGCCCTTTCAGGCTAAGATCTGTCCTGGAGGGACCAGTAATAAGGAGGGGAATCTTCGGAGGAGGTGAGGAGAGGTGCGATCTCCAGCCACACCAAGAAGAACCTTCAGTTCAAGCTTAGAAGAAGCCAGCCGGCACAGCTGACTCAGGCCCGACGCCCTGAACGAGACCAATGGGAAGCAGAAGAGTGAGTACGGTGTGAAGAACAGCGGTGTGAGCAGATTAAGAACATTTTAAACTTCTTTTTACTTTGGTGGAAAACCGAAGGGGAAGAAAGTGATTTTTGGAGGGGCAGCAAGTCAGAGTGTAAATGGGCGGCAAACGACGAGGAGAGTAAAATGGAAGAGGACGAACTCCAGACCAGCGGAGAAATATTAAAGGACTGAAACGTTAAAATACAAGAATATTGAACATGGAGAGAGGTTGATCTAGATAGCTGGATTGAGAAGTGAATTGGACACTAATTCTATCCCCATTTTAGCAGCCCCAACAGAAAGAAAGAGGTGGATTGGCAAAATAAGAAATGCTTACAAGTGACTGTGCAGATTAGAGATCGCCATATTGAATTATTCTATTTTGGAACGGAAACTAGAAACGTGAAGGAAAAAAGATTACAGCGGAAATACACTGGACACTTTTAAAAGTATATAAAATCGGGACATATAGAACTTTTGATAATATATTCTGTGCTCTTTCCTTTTGGACATACTTATATATTTACCGGAACTTATAGGCATTTATATTTATATCTATTTATTATGAAGTAAACTATTATCTATATAAACATTTATAGCTTATACTCTATATATAACCTATAAGTATCTTTTAGAAATATTTAAATCTATTTAAACTCCATATATATAATTAATTACTGCAATTATTATTAACTGTTTTATAATTAAGTATTGACTAAGTGTTTAATCTGTTATTTTAAGATAAGTTTTTTCTCTCTTTTTTTTATAGTACTATTATTTCATAGTAATAATTATTTAAAGTAAATAGACTAGTTAATTGATTGATTAATAGATGGGATTGTGGATTTTGGAGGAATTTTTAAGGTACTAATGAATTGAATTGGTTAAAGGAATAATTAGAAATTAATTTAGTAGTGTAAAACAGTAGGAGGATATAGTAGGAGGATAAAGAAGGAAGGAAAAGAAGGAAGCCATATATAAATTGGATGGTGATTTGGGAGAAGGTAGATAAAATTTTGGTGGAACAATACAAAATACTTAAAGAGATGACTAGTACCACCACAATGACGGTGAAAACAGGGAAGAAAACCGCATCAATACTAACAGGATCATAGGCCTCCCCAGTGACACAAAAGACTTTAGAGGGAATGTTTTCATCAGAGAAACAGCCCCTGCATTAATTATGGCGACAATGCAGGCCACACTCATGACGATACAAGAAACTGTGGTTAAAATGCAGGAATGCATGACTAGGAACCATGAAGAAACCAGGAGGGACATGGACGAGGTCAAGAGAGAGGTTAAAAGTGACATTCAGAAGATAGACAAAAAGATGGACTCGATACAAGAAATGATTAAAAAAAATGATCAAAGGATAATAGCAATAGAAAACAGAATTGACGGAAGAAAGAATGGAATCCCTAGATTTAAAAATGATGGGACTAAATGAAGAATTAGAAAACAATGTGGCACAATTGGAGATGGAAAGAGCTGCATTCTACTTACGCTTTCAAAATGTGGCTGAAGACAGAGAGGAGGACCTAACGTTAGTAATGGTGGAGATGATAGCAGAGGCCCTCCAAAGAGAGAAGGATGAAATAATAAATGAGCTGGACAAAGTATACAGAGTCCACACAAATTATGCTCGACAAAACAAATTACCCCGGGAAGTACATGTAAGATTCATGAGAAGGAAAGTTAGAGACATTGTATACAAAATAACAAAAGATGATCCTATGTTTTATAGGAACAAAGAAATAATTACGTTGAAGCAAATCCCAAAAAGAATAAGAGAGCTGTGGAAGGATTATTGGTTCTTGGCCACATTACTAAACAATAGATATATACCTTTTAGATGGATAACACCAGAAGGAATGCTGGTAACATGACAGGGAAAGAAAATAAGGGTGGACTCACAAAGTAAAGCAAGGGACTTACACGATCAAGTGATGGGTATTGAAACAACAAGTAGCAGCAAAGAGGATTTGGGACGGAACACTAAAGGAAAACAGAGACGAGAATGTGAAAGACCGCCAAAGGAAGGAGAAAAAGAGGAGGAAGGAAAGATCCAGGAGGAAGAAGGAATACAAACAAGGAGGGGGGGGAAGGAGCAGGAAGAAACAAAAAAGAAACAACAGGAAAACTAATAAGAAATGGAACAAAACCTAAAAATTCTATCGTTAAATGTAAACGGTTTCAATTCACCATCCAAGCGACACCAAACATTAAGAAAAATTTTGAAACAAAAAACAGATATTGTGTGCCTCCAGGAGGTACGCATAAGAAAACAAGACGAAAAATATGTATAATATAAGTTAGGCAAAGCATATGCAGCATTAACTGAAGAAAAAAAAAGAGGGGTTGTGGTATATGTTAAGGAAGGAATAGATAGTAATTTAAGGTATGTAGATTTGGAAGGGAGAATAGTGATGATAGAAGTAAAATTAAAATTATAAAAACATCTTATTGGTGGTTATATATGTTCCAAATAGTCAACAATCAGAATTTTATTAAAAAGTGCATGAGAAAATTATAGAACAAAAAATGGAAAATATATGTTTGATTGGAGATTTTAATGCGATTATGGACGTAAGAAAGGATTATAAAAGTGCCCAGAGAAATAAAAATAAGAAAAAAGTATTGCCCAGAATCTTTATAGATTTGGTAGAAGAATTAAGTATGGTAGACAGTTGGAGATTTCACAAACTGGAAGTTAAAAATGTTACATACTATTCTAACCCACATAAGTCCTGGTCCAGATTAGATATGGCATGGGTAACTAATACATTGATGTCAGAAATAGAAACGGTAGAAATATTGTCTAATAAGTGGGCGGATCACAATCCAATAATGTTGACATGGAAGGGACAGCAGAGAAAAAATAGTAGATGGACAATGAATATACAACTATTGAAAGAAAAGGAATATAAGGAGTACATGGAGAAGGAATTAGAATTGTTTTATAAGGAGAACATAAAACAACACACCTCCCTGCAAAATTTATGGGATACAACTAAGGCATATGTGAGAGGTCTGACGATAGCTTATAATGCAAAACGGAAAAAAGAGAGGGAAAAAGAATACAATAATGCACAAGAAGAAATTAAAAAATGGGAAAGAAAATTACAGGAAAATGCAGGAGATGAACAAATTAGAGTTAAATGGACAGTAGCGAAACATAATCTGAATATATTAGAACAGGAGACATATGCAATGGCATTGAAATACATAAAGCAGAATTATTTTGAGCATGCAAATAAGCCCGGGAGGTGGTTGGCATATAGGTTGAGGAAAGAAAGGGAAAAAAGAATAATTCAGAAATTACAGGATAAAAAGGGCATAATCCAACAGTGTTTAGAGAAGAAAAAGGAGATAATAATTCAATACTATCAAGAGCTCTATGAGAAAGATAAAGTAACAGCGGAGGAAATAGAACAATATTTAAGTGGGGAAGGGATGCCAATATTAACAGAGGAAGAAAAAGAGTTACTAGATAAGAAAATTACTATAGGGGAGTTAAAAGAAGCATTAAAGAGACAAAAAAAATAAAAATAAAACGCTGGGTACGGATGGTCTACCAATGGAACTTTATAAAAGTTTAGGGGAATCACTAAATGGGATATTATTAGAAACATACAATGAGGCATTGATGGAGGCAAAGCTACCAAATACATGGAGGGAAGATCCTGAAAGAAGAAGCAGATACCACACTAATAAAAAATTATAGACCGATCTCCTTATTAAATACTAACTACAAAATTTTTATGAACATAATTGCAAATAGGATGAAAAAGATATTAAATAATAGAATACATCAGAATCAAAACGGTTTCTTGCCAACAAGACAAATAAAAAACAATATAAGAATGGTAATTAATGTTTTAGAATACTATGAGCTGCATCCAGAGAGACAGGAAGCACTGATATTTCTGGATGCACAAAAAGCATTTGATCAAGTTAATTGGCAGTTCATGATACATCAAATTAAAAATATGAAATTTGGAGAGAAATTTACAA